GCAGGACAGTTAACTCCACCCACAACAGAGAGGACTGTATCAGCCCACCGCAGAGGCAGGACAGTTAACTCCACCCACAACAGAGAGGACTGTATAGGCCCTGCAACACAGAGGACTATTAGCTCCTCCCACAACAGGGAGGTGTGATTTAGCCCTAACTTTGAGACAGGATAGTATTAACTTCACCCACAACAGAGGACTGGATTAGCTCCAGACAGCAGCTAATACAGAGAATGACAAAACTCAGACTGACATCATCAATAGAAAAAACTGCACTTAGAAAATCAAGTCATGAAATAGGAAATCTTTGTTAAAAAAACACTCTAACGGCTCCTGTATTTTGTTGGACTTTCCACCTCTTCCGAGGGCATTTTAATGACTGTAAAGACCAACTCCCACATAAACCAAATTAATCCTGCTGTAATTGTGAAGTGGGAACACAGTTCTTAAAGGATCGTCTCAGATCAATAAAGAACAAGCGTTAACAGATGCTTTTATTTAATTAACTCTGCTACCAGCACAACCGGTGGAGTGGAGTTCTGGGCTTGTTGCCATGGCAACACACTGCTATCCCTGGGCGGGTGTTTCTGCAGTTTGTCCTGCTTGTCAAAGACGTGGCTGGGGTGCAGACACAAATCCACACTCTGTGTCCAGACAGAGAGGAGTGTACGAGCCCCACACCCGAGACGGGATCGCTCATTCCCCCACAGCAGTTCCCCCAGAGTGTTACAGGGAACAAGCATGGGAGAAGCATGGTGACGCAGTGCTCAGCACTGGGGCACTACCTGTGTGGTGTTCTCATGTTCTCCCAGTGTTCACACAGCTTTAAGCTCATTCCAGTCCAAAGACATACTGGGAGGCTAACGGAGCAGATGGCTTTAGCACCCAGGCCAGTCGACACTGCCAGAGTTCAAGAGCTGAAGACATGTCTTTGGTCCACTTGAAGGAAGCTCGTTTTATCAAGGCAGGGCTCCAGAACTGACTGCATTCTCCACAAATGAAATTATATGTGCTGTTGGTGCCCATAGGAATGTTTACCAACAAAGCCCAGGGAGTTAGGACATTTCAAACATTGTCTGAACCCTCTTACTTTACCTGTCCAGACCTGCGGCTGCAATCATAGTGACGCATGTTTTCACCTGGTGGGGCTGTGACATCTCGCCCCTGGACAGCCCTGCCTTGTGACCTTGTATAACAGAACCGGCACACAGCCTTCCCTGGTAAGAGCCAATACCACACACCCTGTGTGTTCCCCACGGGTGTCACTAAGTTAGAAGACACTTCTCCGGCTTCGCTCCAGCAACTTCCTTCTCCAGTGAACACTCAGCTGCGGTTAAGCCCACACACACAGAACTCGCTAACCCAGGCCAAAAGGTTAGCAGGCATCCACGATGGAAACAGGAGAGAGGAATAAACACCTCCTACTCTTTAGAGAGAACTGGAGAAGAGCGCTAGACAGCAGGCATTCATCTCTTCCAAGCCTCGACATGACTAATACCCATCCGTTAGTGGGAAGCAGTCTGCTCTTCAACACTAGACAGTTTATTCCAGATCGGTGTAACAGCCTTTGTGCTCAAGCACTCTTGAGAATCAAGCCTGTGACTTCATCGAAGGCCATTCACAAGTTAATATGCATCCTCAGCGAGACGAGGCAGCTCCAAACATGTGCAGGAAAATGTGAATTCAAATTATTCAACAAGAGTCTAAACTCGGGCTTGCTTTGCTTTCCAATAGTTTAGAAGCTACCAGCATGTGAGACACTACAGATCATCTTCAAGATGTCTTTTACCTGGAGCTCAGTGATCAAACGCAATAAGCTTACTCACTGCCCTCAGCCTTAAGACCCCTGTGTACTTCACACTCAGAATAAAACAAATCTGAATGCATTTATTATGGCAACTATAGAATTTGCCGTTGGGAAAGACGGTGTTTCCTTACAAATTAACCCAATCTAAAATAATCTGGGCATGTTGCAACGAGTCCTTCCAGAACGCCTCTATAAGAAAGAGAACCCAAAGCACCACCTGCAGGCTCAGCCCTCAGGGCTGGGCAGACCCTCTGGGTGGCCCATCACTGTGGGCAGCCAAACTGGAAGCCTGTCAAAGAGGCAGCCCGGTCCGACACGAGACCCAGCAAGGACCTCTCGCTGTCTGGTAGGACCCTGCCTACTCACCTGGGCAGCAGTGGCCCCGGCTTTCTTCCAGCTCCCTCCCGCAGGATGGGAAACGGAGAGAGAGGGGTCTGGAGAACTCCGAGATCTCCCCACAAAACTGTTGACATGAACCCCTATCTTCCCTGAACGCGTGGCAAAACGATTTCATTGACTGCTTTACAACAGATCCCAGTTTCCAATCCCAATGGACAGGGGAGTCCGTAGGTTACTTATGCAAGTGTTCCATGAATTCGTGGGAGCTGTGGATGATCACAGGAAAGAGCAGAGAAAACGGTCTCTCAGATCAACCAGCCCGCAGCGCACAGACTGGGCAGCACCACAACCTGCCATGGAGATATTCTGCAGGGACCCTGTTAATTACTCTTCCCTGATCACATGTTCTCTTTTTGCAGGCACTCAGGCAATGACTGGACTCCCGGGAGGCAGAGCAGACAGAAAATGCATCTTAGCTCTGCTCTGTCTGAAAATTAAAGCAATTACAAACATAATCCAGTTCCCTGCGCAAAGGTCAGGCAGTCCAGACACGTGCGTGTAATAACCAGATACAAGCTAACTAATGGCAGGATTATCTTCATGTACACAAACAGGCAGCAATATTCTTAAAGCCCACAGTATATTTTATTTTTGAGACACACTCAATGCAACAACTCCAAACCACTGTGCAGGAATTCTACCATGATTCTAGAAATGTGGAAGGAAAAATATTTTAACCCAGTGCCCTGTCCCTGTTCTCACACATGCTTACAGATGCCCCCTGGGGTCCTAGCTCCTACTTATTGGTCCTCTTTCAGAGAAGAGGGAGCATACTCCAGTTACCCACTCACATTCCCGACTGGGCCTGATGAGCCCAGTTCTCTCTGCCTTCACGAATCACCAGATCACTGGTATACTCTTCTTCGCTCTCTCAGTCTTCTTCAGGCCGATCCTGGTTGGCGAGGGACACTAGCATCAAAGCATCACAGCAGCAGCCAGGTTTGCTGTGTCTTTACTTTCTGCTTACTCGCTCTCCGAGACCACCCATGGGTCTGCTGATGGTAAGGCCCAGGGAGCACACAGGACCCCTGTGCCATTTAGACATCTCTCTTTCAGCGGTGGGGAGAAAGTACATTGCTACCCTGCCAAGTGATGCCCACCCTCCCAGTACCACCGCCTCCAGTCTCCCGTTGAGCCTGGCAAATACACTACCCCTCTGCCCACCTGCCCAGCACCTGTGACGCACCTCAGGACAGCCTGAGCTGTAATTTCTCAAGCAGCTGAAGCTCGCCGGGTCCCACAGGCCTGACGGACAGCTCAATCTGTTGATAATGAGACCTTCCTCTGGAGTGTTCACTCCCCTTCCTTCCAGACTGGAGCCTAGATGCAAATTGAGACCCTAATTCCATGGAGAGTCCATTCTGACAGCTCCTTTCCCCTCACAGGGAACTTCACTCAAGAGCGCTAAAGACTCATTCAGAACACCTGTGCCTCAATCCCATTAACAGGCACCCATCTTGGCTCAAGGCCACGCCACTGGGACAAAGCTTAGAGCCAAGTGAGGAGTTCAACAACATGTTCGCCTCTCTCTGCCTCATACCCTAGTTTTGTGAAAAGTGCCATATATTAATTTCTTACATTTATACGGCGCTTTTCTGGACACTCCACTTAAAGAGCGTTGCAGGTAATGGGGATCCCCTCCACCAGCACCAGTGTGCACAGGAGCACCAGCGTGGTGCCGAGCTCTTGGTGAAAGACTAGAAAACAAAGTCATACTGTCCACAAAGATGAGTGATGGATCTGGGGGGTGTCTAAATCCTTTTGAATCGCTCCGGTAACAATATAAACTGTTTTTCTTCTTAGCCGTTGGTAGCAACTGTTTGAAAGGTGTTTCCTCACTTCCTCAAGCACTCAGAAACCCCAGCAGTGCCTCCCAGTCCCTCTCCCCCCCGCCCGTTGTGCTGAGTGTGGCACTGTCGCACCGGGGTGTAATTTCCAGACCGACCAGGTGTGCGCTCTCTCTTGACCCACACTGCAGGGCCTGCTCCCAACACACTGCTGCAACTGCGCCATGGCAACCAGCAGCCACACCAGCCATGCACCGCGTGTGCGCAAGAGAGGGAGACTGTAACAGTGCAGGAGAGCCCTGGAGGGAACAAGGATTCAACAGCCCTGGGTCTCTCATGTCCCAGAGCTACTGTCCCCGGGTTACACTGAGAAATATCAAAAGCTAGTCTGCGCCCCGCAAAAGTTCCAGACCTTTTAAGAAGTCTCAAAAGTCTGTTTGCGATTAGTAGAGCATTAAAGCACATAGCAAGAAGAGAAGCGATTCTCAAGGGAGCGCCTACAGAATCTGAATATCATTCTGCTCCTAGCTTTAATAACACTTAAGGTAACACACAGATTTGTACAATCAAGCCCCCTGTATTCTCAAGAGAGAATATTGAAAGTATTATAAAGAACAGATCACGGTTCATGTCGTTTTTTAATCTACTGTACATTGCAAGCCGGCAGCAGACAGACATTTTGAAAGAAAGAAAATCATGGGCAGCAGAAATTCTCTTCTCTCCTTCTGGCTGCTCTCTCGTTCAGCACCAGCCCTCTCCGCAGCCCACCCCCACGCTCGGACCCGGGACAGAGGGGCTCCCACACACCCCCGCCCTCGGACCTGGGACAGAGGGGCTCCCACACACCCCCGCC